TGATGTCGAGATCCGTAATGACGAGATAAAGATAGACACTTACCGAGCTGGTGGAGCCGGTGGACAGCATGTAAATACTACCTGCAGCGCAGTCCGAGTTACCCACGCTCCAACAGGTATCGTGGTCGCAATCCAAGACGAACGCTCTCAACACAAGGTAGGCCCTTCAACACGCGTGCTTTGCTACAACTGAGCTGAGATTGTATAGAACAAAGCAAAAGCTTTGAGTATTTTATATGCTAGGCTGTACGAGCTCGAGCGGTCCCGAGCAGTGGCAAGTCGGTCTGAATTACGACAAGATCAGGTAATTCAGTTTATTGTCGCAGAACGTTATTTTTTCTACTTTTATAAATTGTCACTCCAGATTGGCTCAAGCGACAGATCGGAGCGCATAAGAACGTATAACTTTCCCCAAGGTCGGGTAACTGATCATCGAGTGGGAGTGACGCAACACGCGATTGAGCAAATTATGGAGGGGATTGGTCTGGAAATTTTTGTGAATGCGCTCAAGATGCAGCACGAAGCGAGCGCTTTGGCGTCGCTCAAAGCTGCAGCAGCTTGACTACCCATAAGTTTCACTGTTTTTTTTTCTTCCTATGTTATTTTTACCGTGTCAGATGTTGACAATTGGAAGCATTTGTTTGAACGTCAGGTGAGTGTTCCATTATAAATGGCAACAGCACTGACTTGTTTCCATGCACAGGACCGTCATCGGATCAATGTGCGTGGTCAACATCTTGGTCAGTAGCAGAGGAGGATGGTTCATGAAATGACAGCTGCCGATGGGACGCTACGGGTGGTTTCTTTTCCTTGGTGCATTAAGTTCCGGAGCGTTTGCAAGAATCTCTTGAAGCGGATGAAACTCATCGGTAGAAGGTCGTCAATTCGTGGGGTGCTGGTGAAGAGCAGCAGCAACAAGCACAGGATCAGTTGGAGAGCGAGCTTTGCATACAGGCAGCAGCAGAAGCAAAAGCTCAAGAAGTCGGGAAGCAGTTTATGGTCGTTTAGTGGCTACAGCAAACTCAAGAACAGCTGCACGGAAGCTTTAGATCGCCAGGAAGTCATCCACCGCAACTTAGAGGACTCTCAGGCTTCGTCCAGCAGCTTCTCGTTCAAGAATGATGCGGAGGACCTTGGGCATGGCAAAGGCAAGAAGATTTTGTCACCGCATCCTGGCGTGCAGCGCAGTGAGGCTATGAAGCTCAAATCGAGGTGGGACGAAGTGGTGGAGATGGTTGTAGCGGACAGCTTTGATGATTTGGTGGACTTGGAGGAATTTCTGGGCTACTATATGCTGCTCAATTGCCCCGTCTTTCGAGCCATGGTGCAGAGGTTTTTTAGCGAGTTTTGTGTGGAGTTTTGCGAGGACGAGGAGCTTCTAGCTGTCAGCCTGTTCATCCCAGAAATGCAGGATTTTCCCTCTTTTGGGAATTCTTCTGAAAGGGAATTAGAATGCTTGCCGCCATCGCCTTGCTAGTTTAAAGGAATAACGTTTCTAGGAAAAAAGAAAAAACATCGTTAGTAAAGCATATTTTCACCACCATGACTTTTACTTTACATTTTAAAAGTTTCTAAAATATTAAATAGTCTTACCTCCATAAAGGTTTGAATAAACAATAGATTAGTTTTGGTTTAAACCAGACGAAAAGGTCGCCTCACAAGAAAAAAGTACCAGTCACTGAAAGTTTCACCTCTCCTCATCTCTCAGGAATCCACCTCTTTTGGTTTAAGCTTAATTTCGCCACAACCAGCTTGCTCTTGCTGCTCCGCCCAGCACGAGTTTGTGCTAGCCCGCACAACAAAAACAAAATAGATTTTGCCCTTGTTGTAAACTCTGTACGGATCAGCAGGAAATCTGATCCAGACGATAATCTTGTTGTGGGCTAGTGACATGGATTAAGTGGTCTAAAGTCTCTTCCGTACTAAAGCCTTAAAAAGATTTTCACAGAAGTTTAAGTTAAAACAGGATGCCTCATGGATTCTTGCGCAGATTTCACTCAACTTTACATTCCAACAAATATTCTGATACTGTATCAGAATATTTGTTTGAATGTAAAGTATATTTTCATCGCCCTTAACAGCATACCTAGATTATTTGGTAGTCAGTAAAAATGACAGAAATGAGAGACGTGCTAGTCAAGGACATCCATCATCTCCAAAACTACCCAGTTTTTGGTTCACAGACATCACAGCAGGCTTTTGTTACGTTTGGGAGCGTGGGGGAGCTCATGGCCTTCTTGCGACAGCAGCACCCGCTCTGCCCACACGGCTGCGATAGCTCGGCACTCACCAAGTTTGACTATTTCGAAAACCACATGCTGATCCAGCCGCGCTACAAGTGCACGGTGTGCAAACGGCACTTCACCCTGGGTGGCACAATACGAGCGAAACGAGCCAAGAAAGAAGATGGCGGTCGTCCAAGGAAGAGACCCAAGAAGGAGCAGCAGCAGAACAAGTCAAGGGGGCAGTGTCTTCCTCGCGAGATGTTGCCTTCGCCGATGATTCCATCGGCCGCAACCAGTGGGAGTCGCGGTTGTGCATCCCCGCGCAGGGCAAGTCGCGGAGCTTCGAGGAGAACGGCGAGGCCATCACCAAGCACTACAGGTCAATGCCCTAGTCAACTCGTGGTCCGGGATCAGTCGTTGCCAGTCAACGCCTGTGACCTCGAGGGATACGTGCAAGACGAGGAGATCTTCCAGGAGGTTGAGAAATTGTGGTGTAAAATGGATTTGGAGGACAAGGGTCCTTCTGTGGAGGACGAGGAGAAGAACTTTCTCAAGGATTTCAATGTCGATGATGGTGATGATCTAGATTTACTACTGGGTCTTGAGGAGTTCAGCCGGGAGTTCAGCGACCAACAGGGCCAGGGCACCCGATTCGATTTGGGCGAGGAGCAAAACAATTTTGCCATGGAGCTGGTGCGGCAAATGGAGGAAGAACTTCCCATCCCAGTAGTAGATGAGGAGAATGATTTCGCCATGGAGTTGGAGCGGGAAATTGAGGAAGCATCTATGAAAGCAAAGGAACAAGCAATGCTTGTATGGAAGGACGAAGTGAGTAAAATTCGAAATCAAGACAATCTCACATTCACCACAAATCACATTGGTTTTGGAGGTGCCCAAACTCTTAAATGCTGATCGATCAGCAAAAAATGGATGATAAATGAAAAGCATTAGTGAATAGAAGTAATTTTGTTTTTGGAACAAGTTCATTACATTATTTGTTTTTCGGTGAAGAGTTTTTCATGAAAAAAGACTCACCCATCCCTTGTGAAAGAAAGAAAAAAAGAAATTAGGGCGAATTAGGTCTCCATAAGGTCGTCCCCGGAGGCAGAGGAGCCGGGATGCTGTGATTGTCAACCGAGCAGGTATTCTGGTGGCACCAATCGCGCCCTCGCCGACAATGCAGCGATCGTCCTAGCGATCGATCGATCGATCGATCGCTCGCTCCGGAGAAGAGCAGAGAAATGATCTGGGCAGGATTCGCGTACGCCGCGGGCGCCGCGATCGGCCACAGCTGCATCGATGCCAGCAGGAAATGGGCGTCCCAGCGCTTCTCGGACCGCGAGCTCGTAGCTCTGGTGGCTCTCCTGGACGCGCTGCTCCTCTCCTCCATGGCGCTCCTCTCCGGCGGCTTCGATCTCTTCTCTTTGACGCGGCTGGACACCGAGTACGTCGCCGCGCTCCTCGTCACCGCGGCGATCAAGGCTCTGGTGGGGTTCATGTACCAGCGTGCTCTCCACGTCTCCCCTCTCTCGGTCACTGTTCCTTATCTAGCTTTCACTCCAGTTCTTCTGGTTTTTACGAGCTATGTGATCATCAACGAGCTCCCGAGCTCGCAGGGGCTCATGGGAATCGTGGTGGTCACTCTCGGCGGCTACTTCCTCGCGCTGGATCACCCGGCGGAGGTGGAGGTGAAGAAATCCGACGAGCCCCCGGGCAAGATCGTCTCGGTTCTTCCTTTGCTTCCTTGGAACTCGTCCAAGGCTTGTGACAAGGTCCCAAAGTTTTCCACCGATGGCGATGGTGTCGTGTTGGATCTCAGTGAGAAGAACTCCCCTCCGGTGGCGATTCCTGGAGGGAATTCTTCCTGGTGGCCACAGATTCAATGGTAAAGATTTCTCTCTCTCTCTTTTTTCGCTTTTCCTGTTCTAAAGTTTGCAAAAGGGAAGAGGGGACGCTCCTCATGCTGGGTGTTGCAGCGTTACTGAGCATAAGTAACAGGTTCGTTTTCTCGAGATTCATTTATGGCTTCTTAGCTCCATTGTCTTTGCAGCCTTGACAAAATGGCTGGTCACTTGGCACCATCGCTTCTCAATTTTGCTGCTCTCCAACGAGGCTTTACGGCCGTTCCCGTGGTTTTATATCTACTTGTCACAAGGTTGGCTTGTTTATCTCTCTCAGGTGATAGCTTGGCTGACTCCTGCGTTCTCTTTTACAGCCCAAAGTCATTCTCGCTTTTGATTCACTTCTTTCCAGTGCTGCTGGCCATCTCTCTGTTTGAGGTCGTAGCCTTCATTTGCTACCTCAAGAGCTTGGAGATCCTGCTCGTCTCGTACGCTGTTGCGGTAAGCAATCTCTTCCTGCCTCTCTTTGTTTTCTCTTTTCTCCACTTCTTTGGTCTTTTCTCTCCTTTGTTTCTGGCTCAAGAAAAGCAAACCGGGGACTTTTCTAATGCGGACTTTGAGTGCAGGCTAAGCGCAGCAACGTGCTACTCTCAGTTTTGATAGGAAGAGTGGTGTTCAAGGTAGCAAATGGTCGTCCCGCAGCTTTTGAAATTGTCTTCCTTTTGACTCGTTTGACGTCCTTTGCAGGAAAAGATATGGAGGCGATTGCCATTCATTTTGATGATGGTTGGCGGAATGACGCTTATTTTGCTGGCTTAAAGCGAATTTCGTTGGTAAACCCTAAACCCTGAACAAAAGGAGAAGAAAATTCTTGTAGTTGGAACTGTGGATATATCTTGTAAAAACTAGTCATTCTATTTCCTAGGGTTAGGTTATGGGAGCACTGGGCTGGACAAGGGCGCATTTTCTTCCCCCTCTCCCTCCCTCGCCATCGCGGCACAAGAATTCGCTCTTCTTGGTAAATGGGAGAAATGCGCCCGCGAGGAGGAGCCGGTTACGCTCCCAGTCGTCATCCAAGCAGGAATCTGGCGCAGAGGAATCCGCGCGCATCGCGCCTCTTGACTTGCCGGTCCAGGAAGGATCCCAGGAATCCCAGGACTCCTCAGCACAGGGCGAGCTTCAACAAGCTCGCGGGCAGCAGGAGCAGCAAGAAATTGGCGAAGCTCTGCGGAAGCTGAGAAAGCAGGCCGCGCCATCGCCAAGCTCGGTGGGATTTTGGGAGGGATTGGCGCAGGAGATTGGGATGATCGAGTGGCCAAATCCGGGCAAAGTGTTTGGGACCACGGTGGTAGTCCTTAGCATCATCTTTGCTTCCTCAATCGTGCTGCTCACTGTAAATTTCCTCCTGGCTGAGCTCTCGGACGTAGTCTTCAAGACCCAATAGAGATAACGCGCCAATGAGGTGGCACCGCGTGGCGCCTTTCATGCTGACACGGCTGCTGTGTCATCATCAATTTTGCCACCTTTTGGAAAAACAAAGCTTTGCCTCAAAATTTTCTTTTCGCAATTCTCACAGAAAATCCACAGTAAAAACCTGCGAGTGTACAATCTTGGAAAAACCGCGTTGTTTCTTTATATATGTATTTACGTATGTTGTTGAAACTCTTCTTCTAGTAGGATTGTTGTTGGTCGATCGTTGTCTCGCTCTCCAAGAACCAAAAAAAAAAAAAAAAAACACAAAAAAAATCCTCCTCTCAGGGGAAAAGGAGAAGAGAAAGCAATACCTCCACAGCGATTCACTCGATATAAGATAGGATCGATCGTCGCTGATACTCTGGAGAAGTGACAGCAGCGCTGTTGTGTCTGCCTCTGGATTGAGCTCGAGCTGCCGTGGCCGGGGCGCATCTGTCCATCGCCAGACACGCTTTTGTCCGCTTGAGCTGTTCGTAGCATCCCTTTCTATCCGCCACCACACCACTGTTATTGTACCTGTTGTTGTTTGTGGTGGTGTTCTTGGAGGACCCATCACTGGCACGAACAGCCGCTGCCCTGTCCGATCCTGGCCCCAGCAATCCTATCTCTCTGTCGTAAGGCGAGAGCCACTTGGCGGAGACGTAGTCGAAGGTCCTCCATGGCGGCAAGTGCATCGCGTTCTGCTTGAGCGAGAACTTGGCGGCGTCAGACATCACCTGTAAGACCTGGCGCAGCCTCCGAGGGGTGGCGACCAGGGGCGTGGGGAGAATCCTCACGGCCGCCTTGTAGCTCTGGATCGGCCGGGCAATCTCGAAGTGCGACTGGAAGTCGAGGTCCACAATGAGGCGCTCGGGGGAGGAGTCCGAGCCGGGTGGCGGGGAGGTTTCGACGTCGATGTACTCGTACTCGCCTGGAAAGATGGGCCACGAAGAAGTTTGTGAGTTGCGAGTGACTTAAGTTGTGTGTGAGATACCTACCTCCAGGAACTCGTCCCACGCTCTGCCATCGCGACTTGCAGATTCCAGCGTCGTACCCGGCTTTTCGCAGGCGTTTCACAAGAAAGGAGCGGAGGCAGCGGCCCTTGCAATCAATTCCGCGGTGGCATAAGCCATCCATCCGGTCCTCGGTCATGGAACACAAGATGCGGATCACCGCGCTGCGCAACTCTTTTTCAACGGGTGACGCGGTCGAGATAAAAGCCTGCATTGGAAAAACGCCAAGGGAAAGAATGTCAAAAACTTGTGGTGGCAGTGGCAGCAGGAGTAAAGAAGAAAATAAAATACCACCCTCTTACCTTGAGTTTTTCAAAGAAGACTGCGAACCCGGTGGGTGTTGGGGACTCTTTGTCGCTGCTATCATAGCCATCGGCCCCGTTTTCCATGAAATCGTGAACCATGGCCGCCAAATCATTCTCGCTGTCGCTGCTGCTCATAAGAACAGTGGCGGGGCCATGTATCGTCGTTGGAGCCGCCGCAACCGCCACGAGTTTGGAGCGTGATTTGCTTCGGGCAGCTTGAATTTCCGGCTGGCAATTTCTGATCGCCACCAAAGGAATGCGGCGTGACGAATCCAGATGATCGGGCCTTCGCTGCCAATAATCCCTGTCCCTGCCTCCAAACAGCAGCGCGTCGGCCTCGATCGCTGGAGAGGCGTAGGGAATGCCAGGCATCGTGACGCGAGAATGGAGCAAATCCAGGGCCTGGATCCCTGAAATTCTACCAAAATTTTCCTAGGAGATCATCACTCGCGGCGACGGCGGCGAATTCCGGCATCCATACCTGGCAATTGATCTCAATTGCGGGGAAATGCCGGCTACCGCGGAGGAATCACGGGCAATCGACTGCGCGCCATGGTTTCTCGATCGTCCGAGAGAGCCCCAAGGCGCAAGCCCTAAAAAATGCGCCTCTCCAGGCAAGACTCGAGACAAAGAATGGAAGCACTTTGCAAGTGTGCGCCTTTAAATAGTGGTTTCCGTTTAATGCGGTTTCCACTTTCGTTATTTGAACGGAGAGATTTTTGAAAGTTTCTTTGTCCGCGTAGCGCATCACCTAATATCATCTGTTAGACGTTTTTAACTCGAATTGCGGGGATAGCTCAGTTGGGAGAGCGTCAGACTGAAGATCTGAAGGTCGCGTGTTCGATCCACGCTCACCGCAACGTTTATATTTTCGAATGTTTAAATTTTTTTTTGCGGTAAGAATTTAGGGCTTATGGTTAACCCCTCGGCTATGGCGCTCTTGACGCACGGGTGGGCGCCGTCGTCCTCGCATTTTCACTGCCGCTACCATTCGAGGAAATGCTGGACACCGCTACACTGCTCGGTGGGTTCTGTAGAGGCCGTGACGGCCGGAGAGGATAGAATTCTTGTGAGTAGTGGTGCCAGTGGCAGGGATTTGATCGAGCCCGGGGAGAAACCCTGTTCTAGTAGCGAAGATCCAGGAAAGGAAGAGGTTTCTCCTGCGGAGTTTGCCAGGGAAATTGGAAGAAGGCGCAACTTTGCCATAATCTCGCATCCAGATGCTGGAAAAACAACGCTGGTATGTCTCAGTTGTTTGCTTCCTCTTTTGTTTTGTAAGAGAGGATTCTGTGTAGACAGAAAAGCTACTTCTCTATGGAGGTGCCATACACGAGGCTGGTGCTGTCAAAGCTCGGAGAGCTTCAAGGCATGCTACGTCAGATTGGATGGAGCTCGAAAAGCAAAGAGGTGATTCTCTCTGTTTGTTTGGTTCTCGGGCATAATCTTTTGTATAATTCTATCCAGGGATATCTATCACGTCCACAGCCATGGTTTTTGAAACTAGAGGCCAGCTGATAACGTTGCTTGACACTCCCGGCCATCAGGTACTTGGCTCTATTTTCTGTTTCGTAGATGAAGTTGTCAATCTAAATAGTAAACTCCAGGATTTTGGTGAAGACACTTACAGGTGGGAGTTCCTTTTTAATCTTGGTTCTATTTGCTGAAGTTGGATGATTTTAACTTGTAGAACCCTGGCAGCAGCAGATAACGCTGTCATGCTTGTTGATGCGGGGAAAGGCTTAGAGCCGCAGACAAGAAAGTTGTTTGAGGTAACGTAACACTACTTCTTGCTCAAAATCGTTCATATAAACCTTTCGCAGGTATGTAGAATGCGTAAGTTGCCAGTGTTTACAGTCTTTAACAAGCTGGATAGACCAGCTTTACAACCGCTAGAGCTCATCGATGAAATCGAAAAGGAGTTTGAGCTCCCTACTTATCCTGTCAGCTGGCCAATTGGTTCTGGCGACAGGTGTTTTGCTTTGATATTATTTGATCGTTTTGATTTTCATCACTTACGTTTTGTTTTTGTGCACAGGTTTCTTGGTGTCTACTATAGGCCGAGACGACAGGTTCATCTTTTCGAACGAGGTGGCAAACATGGTAGTGTTGGAGCTGCAGTGCGAGTCCTTGATTATATGGATCCTAGTCTAAAGACAATTATACCCACCGATCTCTACAAACAGCTTGAGGTAGGAGCCTTTCTCCCAGGTTTTTATTGTAAGCATGTTGTGTTCCATCGGAAGCGGCTTACGTAGGAAGAAGTGGAAATGCTGGAAGAGTTGACACCGCCGCTGGACATTTCGAAGGTTCACTCAGGCGATTTGTCACCTGTATATTTTGCAAGTGCCATGAACAACTTCGGCGTAAGGATCTTGAGAAGTGACTGCCAATTCTGAAAATTTTATTGTTCTTCTGTTGAAGGTTGAGCTCTTTTTGGAAAGTTTTCTAGAGTACTCTGTAAAGCCGGGAGCACACTCGAGCGACATTGGTGAGATCCATCCAGAAAACCCATCCTTTTCCGGATTTGTCTTTAAGGTGAATACTATTGTCTTTGTAGAACCATCTAATATGCTCATTGCAGCTACAAGCGAACATGGATCCGAAACACAGAGACAAAGTTGCTTTTGTTCGTGTATGCTCGGGTCAGTTCAAGAAAGGGATGAAAGTTCAAGTGTCCAGAACAGGCAAAACTATCGCGCTGACAAGGCCGCAGAAAATGTTTGCGCAAGATCGCTCCATAGTTGACAACGGATTTGCCGGAGATGGTTCGTTTTATTCTCCCTTCTCTCTCCATCTAACAAGCACGTTGTGTGTTATGGTTGTAGTTATCGGTCTTAATAATCCAAACGCATTTTGCATCGGTGACACAGTTTTCTCTGGCCGACAAATACGTTACCCAGGAATTCCATCCTTCTCCCCAGAACTCTTCAGCTACATGCGAAACACGAACCCGGCAAAGTACAAGCAGTTCCAGAAAGGCATTAACGAGCTTCTCGGTGAAGGAGCTGTTCAGGTTTTATAACTTGAGAAGCTCAAATGGATTGATTACTATTGTTGATAATCAGGTGCTCTACTCAGTCGACGCAGGAAAAAACGATCCGATTCTAGCAGCAGTCGGACAATTACAGTTTGAGGTACGTCACCATAAAGCTCCTTTGTTTCCATATCCAAAACCTTGCTAACTGGATCAGGTAGTGCAATATCGGATGCTAAACGAGTACGGTATCGAAACCAAGCTGGAACCTCTTGGTTACAGCGTTGCTCGGTGGGTAACAGGAGGATGGCCTGCGATCGAGAAAGCTGGAAGACTCTACAATTGCATGGTTGTCAAGGACCAGGTTTTGAAAACTCTAAACTCTACGCAGATTTCTTTGAGAAACTTATGCTCTCCTTTTTGTTGTTTCCAGTGGGGACGTCCCGTGCTTCTCTTCCGCAACGAATGGAATCTGACTCAACTTATGGTAAGTTTCAAGCGCTGGAATCAAAATCAAAGTGATAAGTCTGACTGTATTTCAGGGCGACAACAAGGACATTGGTGATCTGGTTCCCATCGCATTGCCTCCCGAAGAGAAAACAAGAAAGTAGTCCAGAGCCAATCCATTCCAGCGGGTAGCATGCGATCATCAAAGTGTTCTAACGCGTGTCAGGGATAAGCTCGCTCTACCTACGTGTTCTCTTGATCCAAAGAATACATTCTTATCATCTATATCATACAAGACAATATATGATATAGAAAATCTATGGAAAATTCAAAGCGATCAAATTTCTGAAGCTTGCTGTTCTCTTCATCCAAAGAAAAGATGCTTATCATGAAAAATTCAACGCTATCAACCTTTCTTAGATTCTTTTAGTCAAAAAGTTCTACAGGTAAAGCGGGGATAGCTCAGTTGGGAGAGCGTCAGACTGAAGATCTGAAGGTCGCGTGTTCGATCCACGCTCACCGCATTTCTTTATATGGCCTTTGGTATCGTTTAGTGGAGCATTTCCAAGTTTTTATAATGGTTTACCTCTGGTCGATTCAACAAACGCGGAAAGGGATCTTTTGTTACAGCGCATGGAATCGATTGTATAACATCGCCAGATTATTCCCATTCAAAAGTTTGATACCAGCACATGTGTTAAATGGAAGTGCCATCCAAATAGTAGAACTCCTGCGCCAAGTCACAGTGCCGACGTGGAGCTTCGATCTCCTGCCTTGAAATTTCTCGCGGCTCGCATTTGTCGGCGCAACCCTAAAAGAGTAAAAGAGTTTTTAGCTTCTTTCCCCTCCATTCAACGCTTGCCGCCGGCCAAGAAGGCGCGATCAGCTTCTTTCTCATCGGTCGATCGACCGATCGATCGCGCGCGGCGGGGCGGATTGTTGTTGGATTGGATCGTTGGATCGTCGCGTCGGCGTCGGCGGCTATGGCTTCTGCGTTTCTTGCAAACAGCCCTTGCTCCCCAATGCTCGGGAGAATCCAGCTCCGTAGCGAATGCAGAGCTTGTGGCTTGGCTCTTGGATCGTCGCGCAAGCGCGGATTTTTGCCGGTGACGGCCAGTGTCGCCGAGCACCTCACTTTCCCCAAATCTTCTCCTTCCGACTACGAGGTATGGATGAAGTTCTTTGTGTTGATTCTTCCTCTTCTTTCTTTGTTGTAATTCTTTTGATCTTCTCTCCAGGCCGATCTTAGAAAACTTTTATCGGGACGCGACGTTCTACACTCCCGAGCATTCCAGCTCCATAGCTCCAGGCCTGAAGAACGCTTGAAAATTTTCTCTGGTACTGCCAACTTACCGTTAGCCACGGTACACTCTCTTTGTTCTTCCGGTTCCTTACGAACTGACGCTCGAGCTTTCAGGAAATTGCGTGCTATATGGGCCTCGAGCTGGGCAAAAGAACGATCAAGCGGTTTGCCGATGGTGAAATCCATGTCCATCTCGAAGAGAGCGTTCGCGGCTGTGATATTTTCTTGGTCCAGCCGACTTGCCCTCCTGCCAACGAGAACTTAATGGAGCTGTTTGTGATGATCGATGCTTGCAGACGCGCGCATGCTAAAACGATCACTGCCGTGATTCCATACTTCGGATATGCTAGAGCTGACAGAAAGGTAGCGAAGTTTCTCATCTTAGTTTTCTTCGGATGTTCTAACGCTGGCGAATTCTTTCCAGACTCTTGGTCGAGAGTCGATTGCTGCAAAGCTTGTAGCGAACCTTATAACTGAGGCAGGTGCAAATCGTGTTCTTGCGTGTGACCTTCACTCTGGACAAAGTATGGGGTACTTCGATATTCCTGTTGATCACGTCTATGGACAGGTATGTGCGTCATATTTTTCTCAACGTCACCATTCCCGTACAAAAATCTCTTTGCTCTTTCTTGCAGCCTGTCATTTTGGACTACCTTGCCAGCAAAATGATCTCCGCAGATGACTTAGTAGTAGTTTCTCCAGATGTTGGTGGTGTCGCAAGAGCTCGGGCATTTGCCAAGAAATTGTCTGATGCCCCGCTTGCCATCGTCGACAAGCGCAGACAAGGTCACAATGTTTCAGAGGTAGACGGCATCCTCTTCTGGCTGTTTTCTCATGCGTGTTGATTTGCTACTGCAGGTCATGAACTTGATTGGCGATGTCAAAGGCAAGATCGCGATTATGGTCGATGACATGATCGACACCGCTGGTAGGCCCGAAAGCATGGTTTTGATGTTCTTCTTTGCAGAGTAGCATCTGACACGTTTCTTTCCAGGAACAATAACAAACGGAGCAGCACTTTTGCGCCAAGAAGGTGCAAAGGCGGTCTATGCTTGCTGCACACACGGCGTTTTCAGGTAAAGAAGTTGATCCATTTTTTTTCTTTTTTTCTTTTGTTTGCTAACTCTATTCGGCCACTCGAAGCCCACCAGCGATCGAGAGGCTCTCTGGAGGCCTGTTCGAGGAGGTGATAGTGACCAACACCATACCAGTGAAGCACAGCTTCAAGCAGCTCACGATTCTCTCCGTCGCAAATCTCCTGGGCGAAACAATCTGGCGAGTCTACGATGATAGCTCCGTGAGCAGCATCTTCAGATAACGATGGCTGGAGAAGGAAGAATCAAGAAAAAAAAAAATCTTCTTATGCTTTTTAGAATTTTTTTCTGCCGAGTCGTGCTCGGTGACGACGATGATGAAATCCACTGCCTCGGAAATATTTCCTCGTCTTTGTAAAGAAAACTAACTGTTCTTCTGTCTAGTTAACTTTTCGTTTGACCTAAATGTCAATGTCGCGGGTTCGAATCCTTTCGCGCCGCATTTATTGTGAAGAGGTGCAAACGTTTTGTTTCCAAGGTTCTGGGTTAGGGTTTATTGCCAGGCGGAAGTGGAGCGCTCGCGCGGTCGATTGATCGATCCACTGGTCTTCGCTGCTGATTTATGTCTTCGGCAAGGGATCAGCAGCAACAGCAGCAGCAAAATTCGACCGGCGGCAGCAATTGCTGCTCCTCGAGGTATGGGTATGGCGACGTGAGCAGCGCCGATGTCCACCTAGAGCTGGTGCCGATCAGCGGAAATTCACTGCCGCTCCACCTCCACTCCCACGTCCTCCGTCGATCGGAATATTTCGAGGCACGCCTCTCGGAGCGCTGGAACAATGTGAGCGCCGGCCGCCCAATCGAGCTGTGCCTCGACAAGTGCAAGGATCCCTCTGCCTATGTCCGCTGCTTCGAGGTCCTCTACGTCCCCGATCGCCTCAAGCTCTCGGCGTTTGCGGATGTCCAGGACGCGCTCACCGTGCTCGAGGTAGCGGCGGAGCTCCTCCTCCACGAGTGTGTGGCGGCGTGCATGAAGTACCTGGAGGCTGTTCCATGGACCCCCGACGCCGAGGAGGCGATCCGGAGTTGTGTGTCGTCGCTCCACTTGCGACCCAGCCCGGATCTGGCTGCTAGGCTGTGTACTCTTGGGAGCATGCCCGATTGCAAGCCCGTGGACGTGATGAAGGAGGTGCTGGGAGAGCTCTTGTCGCTCGTCTCCAACGGAGCTCCTCCAAAGGCCAGGGACATCACCGAGAGAGTTCTTCTCGCCAACGTCCAGGCCCCGGCGTCGTCGGCCTTTGCTGCGGTGAACGAGGTGGCGCTCTTCAAGGAGGTCCAGACCAACTTGGAGGCGCTCAAGATCCAGCTCAACAAGTTCGTCAACTTCTTCTCCTGGAACTCCCACCAGGTGAATGTGGCGTGCTCGGCTCTGCGGTGGCTGCTCGAGGAGCTGTTCTCGCTCCAGATTGCCGAGACGGCGATCAAGATGCTGGCCGAGGAGGAGGACCTGGCGCAGCTGATGGTGTCGAGGATCTACCAGAACCCGTTCACCGAGACGCTGTTCTGCATCCTGGTGAGGATCTTCCAGGCGCTGCAAAAGGGAGAGGTGGTGGTGGCCAGGAACTTGAGGCTGGCGCTGGTCACGACTTGGCTGCCGGTGATCGCCAAGCTCGTCCACGACGCGGACGATAGCATGGGTAAGGACAACGAGCTCCAGCGGAGCTTGGAGGAGGGGCTGAGCGCGGTGGTGGCGACGCTGCCGCTGGTGGACCAGGAGGCGGTGTTTAAGATCTGGATCGGTTCGTGTCTCAAGAGCAGGAAGGCTTTCCCCGACTTGAGCGACGCTTTCGAGAGCTGGTGTTGCAAGCTCCGGCAGGCCCAGCTGGACAAAGAGCACGACGGTGGCGGGCCGACTATGGCTGCCTCGACGCCGAGCAAGGGAGAGAGCTTCGCCACGACGTTGGAGGAAGCTCACTAAGCTTGGAGCGATGGAGCACACTGTGTCTACTGTACAGGCTGCGAGTAAGGTACGTTACGCATTTCTCGCTTCTAGACTAAGTTCTTCTCTCGGTCTCACGCAGGTTTTTCTTTTCCTTCGTTTTTTTCAGCGATCGATCGATCAGGGAATTCTTTTGTTATCGTGTATAGTGAATGAGGGAAGAAAAATTTCCATCGAGTGATTGTATCTTTGTAACAGGATCGAAGTTTTGCTCGTCCGTCAAACGAAATGTTTGTTCCTTCTCGAAAAGTAAAGTTGTTTGTTGGGCAATTACCTTCTCTTTTGCCCTATCCAATCGCTTTATGTGATACTTTGAGTTTAACAAGTAATTAACAAAATTAAGGTGTTTAAAACCTACAAACATCATGTGCAAATCTATTGCAAAGATACCATGAACATTGGGGTTGAGGAAAAAACAGCCATTCACCATGTTTTGAAGGTATTTTCATGCTTGTTTTGTTTTATTTTTTCCTCTATTGACTCTTTATCTGTTCTTAGCTTATTGTGGATGGCTTTATGAGAGAACTGAAGTGTCTGAATCCAAGAGTAAGCGAGGACTTAGCCAGTGTCAACGTTACAGCAGGGAGCAAACTAGAGAATTTATCAGATATAAAACAGCTAGACACATAATCAGTCACATGTCCATGTGAACGGTGAGGAGATAAAAGGCTAGCCCCAGTGGATATTGACAGCTGTAAAGAGTTGGTAATCCTTGAACTCCTGACGTTAGAACAAATTGTTTAGTGAGATAGATGAAGGGACTTGCAATGTATAGGAGACACTAGAGGTAAGTGATAGGCCTAGAGGGCAGATAGGTGAAGGACCTGGTAGTGTATAGGAGACATCAGAGATAAGTGACAGTACAGAGACGTGAACAGCATCAGTAAACCACACTAATAGTAAGCAGCAAGTCCAAAACTCGATTGATTGGGACCTGTTTACCATGATTGTAACTGATATTTTGTATTTATTGCTTGATAACAGTGATTGAGTAATAATTCATTCACTTCTAGACATCAATTTAATTTGAGCCAAGGAACCCAGTTAAAAGAGAAGGTCTATCAGCAATTGCAAAATTGTTTGAACTTCCGCCAGTTATAGCAATAGAAGAAACACCAAATACTGGTAATTTCTAGTAGTTCTTACAAGAATGTTTTTTGTTTGACTTATAGTTTGGTGAAGGGGCTTGTTGATGGTGCAAAGCAACAAGATCAATTATTTTATATCCACATTAATGAGACATTAAAATTACTATCTTTCTCTGCATTGACATAAGAGTACACTATTACCAAAATTATTTATAGGCTAATTTATGAAACAAATTACAAATTTGTACAATAGTGATAAATAAAAAAACATTTTATTACTAGTTTTGTCAATTTTATCATTATTTTTAGAATAAAATTAGTTTATTTTTTGTTAAAAATTATTTCATTTTAATAATTTTAAAACAAACTGATCACTTCTTACCACTTTTTTTGGTTATTGAACATGTTCAAGCAATTGCATTTACCATTTAACCATTATTCTTGCAGCTTTAAATTCTAAAAAATTATAATTATAATATCCTCTTAAGGCACAATTTATAGTGGTAATAGGCAATAAATATATTTTGAGTAATTTCTAGTAATTTACAAATAAAGTGAAACTTTGGAACTTCTTTTACTTAAAGTTTTTATAAATAATAAAAGTATAGAAAACATTTAACTCAAATTTATAAAATAATTTAGAGTGATTTTTCTAAGTTAAAAGTCTAAAAGGTCTCATTAAGTAATCTACTTTAATTTTCATTTTTGAGAATTATACTAAAATTATCAGATTTTTAAAAAGCTTTTATTGTCATCATAAATTTGTTAAACCAACTCAGCATATTCATACAGTTAACAAAACTAATACTATAAAATGAACTTTTAAATAAACTTTCAATATAATAATTATAGTGATAGATTAGATGTATCATATCTTAGATCACTTTTAATTAGCAGTCTTATAAAATTTATATATTTTGTTAAATTATTTTTCACTAAAAGCTTAAAATATTAAGAATAATATTTGGAAGAGGAGCTTGAGAAAGGATATCAACATCAGCTATAGAACTCCCTAAGCAATGAACAACATCAAAATTATATATCTGAAACTTCAAAACCCACCAAGTAATATGATCAACCAAGTTCTTCCACTTCAATAATGATGTAATTACGACATGATCACCTTCTAATAACATTCAAGAACCATGTAGATATGCATAAAGTTTTTCAAAACTCCAAATTGATACTAAACACTGATACTCTGTCATGGTGTAGTTCACTTTTGTTAGTTGTAATGTATAGCTAATATATGCAATAGGATGGCACTGACCAAGCACACTTGGGTTCTTTTGCATCAACACACCTTTCAAACTGATATCAAAAGCATCTACACACAAAATAAAAAATCAAGTATAATTAGGATATGCCAAAATTGAAGGAGTTGTCAATAGCACTTTGAGATTTGTAAACTCCCGCTTACAGTTTGTAGACCAAATGAAAGATGACATTGACAACTTTAGCATGCTCGCAATGGTGCAGTGTGATTAGAAAGATGATCCACAAAATGACTGAAATACTGCACCCTACTCAAGAAGCATTGCACATCATTCACACACTTTGGAGTAAGGAACTTTAGAACAACTATAAGTTTGTTATGATCAACTTGCAAACCCTTATGAGAAATATAATACTCAAGATAAATCGTGTCCTTAGACCCAAATATGCACTTCGATTGCTTCAGTTTTAAACCAACTTCCTAAGTTGATTCAACATCTTACAAACATCACGGACATGTTCCTCCCCTTCCAAGTGGATCAAGACATCTTCAATAAAATTAATAGTCGCCTTCGGCATATTACAAAGAACTTTGTCCATAATCTGCTAGAAAGTTGTTGGAGCATTGTTCAAACCAAACGACATCACCAACAACTCCTACAAACTAAATGGTGTACAAAAAGTAGTCTTAAGAATATTATCTTTGGTTATTGGTACTTGTTAGTAACCAAAAGTAATATCTAACTTGGTGAATTAGTGACTTCTCCCCAGATGATCCAAGATATTAACAGTGTGAAGAAGAGGGTACACATCTGGGATTGTCACTTCATTTAAAGAATGATAATCAATGTAGAAACGAATATTCCCATTAAGCTTTGTCATAAAATGAGGTTCACATGCCCAATGACTCTGCAACTTTCAAATAACACCCTTTTCTAACATCTCCTTAATATTTGCATATACAATCTTAATTTCTTTAGGTGCAAGACAATGAACATGAAACTTGATTGGGTGAGCATCCCCAATTAAAATAGAATGACATGTTGCAATTTTGGCCCTAAACAAAAGGTCAAATTCAAAGAGATCAGCATACTCTTTTATGAGCTGGTCAACTACTGTAACACAAAAACCATAAGAGG